TTTTTAGCATGTTGTTTGGCTAGAATAAATATGTAGCTGTTAGGTAAAATTTCTTTTCTCTGCAGGGCAACTTTAAATTGCACTAGGTTTTCAGACCTGTTTGCACTGGCAGCAGGTTAAAAGCGAGTGCTCTTTTGATGCCTGGAAGGGCAAGAAGGAACAGTCAGCTCCCAGGCTGTGCTTGGTGACTGAACAGGGAACAAGCAAAGGCAGAGTACAGTCTTAGTCCCTTGGACTGAAGATCAAGTTCAGACATCAAGAAGTAACCTAGATGCAGCTGAAGAAAGGCAAATATTGTAAAGAAAAGCAAGTCACAGGGAGGCAGTGTGCTATTGCAGGTTACCCAAGTGTAAGAGTAAGGTGACACCGGGGAAAAAAAGGAAACTCTTCAAAGCCCTGAGCTCCTTCACATCTTCCCCACTCACTGAATCCGTCTCTCCGATTGGGGATGCTTGCTTAATGAGTTAGGTACTCAGATAGCTACAGGAATCCTTCTCCCAGTGTAGCTGGCCAAAAGACTGTGCCCTGTTGGCTCAGAGATATGTGGAGAGCAGTCTGACTCTTTATCTGCTAAGCTTAACCATCCACCATAACTATTCATTACACTGCACACCCGGATAAAACCTCCAGCTGTTCCCAAAAGCAACAGCTCATCACAAAAGCCAGCACGAGTGCCTCAGGCAAATGCTTCCCTTTTGTGTTAGCTCCCTGTTGACTGAAGCAACCCAAGGCCCCTTTCTGACCATCAGGGCTCACAGAAGGTTTGGCCACAGATGAAAGGGAGGTGATCTTCTTCCCCGTGTTCCGAATTTTCACACCATTTCCATTGTTCTCAAATCCCATAGCTCGTATGTGACAGGCTCCCTGCTGGATGCAGACCATGCAGAAAAGACAGGGGAAGTTTGTGTTGCCATTGCTACTCCCAAAATTATCAAATGGAGATGGCCAAACTTGTGGACTGAACTGACTGTGCTGTTACTGTGTCCATGCTGGTTTGCATGTTTATTACTTTGCCCATTTCGAACTTCACTGAGCTGAATCTTGATGAACAGATATATTCTGAATGGATTTTATTATTGTTGGCCTTTTTTTTTTTTTTTTTTTTTTTTTTTTTTTTTTTTTTTTTTTTCCCTGGCCATTAAGACTCATTATATGGAGTCATCAGCTGTTTTGCTTTGTTTCCCATCTGCTCATACAGAACTTGAGTTTTGGGATTTTTCCCAAGGTGTGAGATAATACTGCAGATGGGAGTGCAATTTCCACTGTTTTCATTCTGCCCCGGTGAGGCTCTGTGTGGTCACTGGTGGAAAAATGACAATTGCACTGGTTTTGATTAAAGATTTTCCACATTATAGAAACTTGTCAAATCTCAAGATTTTTGAGATCATATTGCTAACTAGAGTCAGTGGCTTTTTTTTTCTAAAAGGATTTTCGATCCTTTCTCCATCTGCAACGCCTCCATTCTCTGAAGTAAACAAGGACTCTTTTTTGAGAGCAAATATTGTGCAATTTCAAGTCACAGGGAAAAATTACCCCTGCCTGTGATTGGGGAGATGATAACGTTCTGGTCCCATAGTTGTTGAGGGGAACAGAAATTGGAACCTAATGAGACTTTGAGGGGCAAGTCTAGTCTCCTGTGACCACCAGTAGCCACCTCATATCAGACTTGTTATTCATGTATCAGGTTGTCATCTTGCTGTTTCAGTAACTCACTTCCCTGATGATGAACAAACCTACCTAAGCTGGCCTTTTACTCAAATACCTGTTTTCTCTCCCCAGTTTTTATCCCCTTTTGTATTTGTAGAGCATGATCATATCCATTTTGACCTTCGCTCTGCAAGGCTGACAAAAACACTTCCATAGCTTCTTGCTTGAAAAATATGCTCTCCACACTCCTCACCCTCCTTGCAACTCTCAGGTAAACTTCTTTCAATTTATATTCATCTACCCTGGTGACGGGAGCCAAGGCACTGCTGTCAGTCCTGAAGTCAGTGTATGGGAACGTAGATGCTCCAGTTTCACTCCCTCGCACTGCTGCATGGTGCTGCATTTTATCCCGGTCTGTATTTTGAGGCATTTTAGTTTTCAGGTAATAACTTCAGCTTGGTTTCAGTCACATCTTGAAAATGTCCTCTTTCTTCCCCTCTGCATTTATATTCTAACATAGATTAAGTTGCTACAAAAGTATTTTAGTCAGTTATTCTCTGATTCAATTTCCTGGCATTTTTCTTCCAGATCTGTAATTCCTATCTTGATTTCTCAGCATCTCTGTTACTGAAATTGCTGGACACTATTTGGAGTAGGTTGTGCCCAGGGTGAGCCTCTCTCTAGCTGTTGGATGGCAGTACTACATTTCACAGGGACATTTCTCTGTTTTCACAGTGCAAGACTGCAAGCTATTCTAGCAGCACTGAACTCTGATATTAAGAAAGTTTTAACACAGCACTGGCCCAATGGCAGTTCTAGTGGGGACGTGCTTCCATGGCTTTACAGCAAGAGGCAGCAGAACCAAGACGGGCAACCTACAACTCTGAACCTTGTCACAAAGCAGGACAGTTCTCCGGAGGGAGAACAACCACCATCCACGCAGCCTCTGGGGTAAATCCAGCTCTCGTAAGCACTGCCTTCCCCTGCAGCTAATTACTGGACAGTTAAACCTGCAGTGGTATATGGGAAGTCAGAGAGAAGACCCATAATTTTACAGCAAGGTTTTTCATCCTTAAATACAGAAACCCAAGGCTCAGTCTTCATATATTTACCCCTTTCAGAGGATTTTTTTTTTTTTTTTTTTGTTAAACTCAACATTGCTGCATAGAACACTTACAAAATTACCATGTTTATTCAAGATTTTAAAGATTTTAACGCTGTGAGTGGAGGAGGAGAGATTTTTAATGAAACTGCAGAATTGCTTTCATAAGGGAAAAATGATAGGGCAATTGTGAGAGAATTATATTGAAGATGAAGACTAATGCTAGAAAATCACCTATGCCTAGTGTAAACCTCCCTGAAGTACACAGGAATCTCATCCATGGCCTGAGACTCTCATCGTATTCGCGTGTATGAACCTAAAGAGGCAAGGAGGAGGGATATAAAGGCAGGTAATGCTAGTAGAAGTCTGTAGACCTTTTAATAGCCCTTAGGTATAAATCTGGTCTAATAAATCTAATAAAGCACACAATTATTCTTCCTAAGCATAGGCTTTTACCTCAAGTTAGGCCAAACCATAATTTCAGGGGAAGAAGAATCAAAGCAAAGACTCATAGGAGAAAATCTGTTGAAGCAGTGAACTTTTCACCTCTAACAGCTAGTAATGGCCACGGGGTACAAGATCAGATGGTTCACTTAACCGCTAAGGTAACGAAATTAGGCTAAAAGTTAGATCTAGTCTGCCCGGAGGCAACATGACAAATTAGATTCATCCACTCACCATATTTGTATTAATGCACTTTTGTATTAGTGAACAGATTATAAAAGAAGGCTTTGCCTTGAGGCAGGGTTTTCTGGCACTGAACTAATTTTCAATATGAGGTTCTCCCCTGAGGGCACGATAAGACCCTCCCTTCTTTGCAGCCAAGGATCTAATCCTCAGCAAAGATTTACCTGTGAACAGCTCTTAACGCTTCAGAGCTTTAAAAACTGCAGATTTCTTTCTACATAAATTGTATATTCTTTATATGTTTTAATAATGGAATATTTACTTAACATTTTTCTAAAATCATTCAGTGTGTTCCACTGCTAATATTTAGACTAAAGAAAAAAAAAATGTTATTTTAAAATCAGATTTCTGGGACAGGGTCTGTAAATTCATCCAGGCTTCCAGTCTTAGCTGGCGGTCAGTAGTGAGAACTGTTGGCTATGAAGATGGCCACTCCTCTTCATGCGTTGGATGTAACCGTGCAAAGAGTCATAGCCCTGCGGTCTCGTGGCCCTGGGAGTTGTGGGACTCACAGCACTCAATGTCACCTGTACGTGTGAGCGTTTCCCACACAAGGCTTTACTTTACAGCTGCAGCAACCTGGCATCCCTCTGACCTGGGAGGAAGCTGTGAATCAAGAATGCATTTCTTTTTTCTTTGAAGATGAAAGACTTTTAAAATTAGTTGCATGACATTATGGCTTGTCTGTGTTGTCAGCTTTGATTTTGCTGTGGCAAAATGATGGCCGCTCCCTGTCACACATAGTGGTGCCGTGTCTGTGAGCACCACACTCATCAAGTGGCAGCAGTGAGTGAAAGCAACACTACGATCTGCATGGAAAACAGTTTTGTGGAATGGGACAGAGAGGGCAAGGCGAGTGCAGATGTTACGCTCCTGCATGGCAGCCAGCCCCGCCATGGCTCACCGCAGCTGGTGTTGGCTCTGCCGTGCCACCCACAAACCTGTGCCAGGTGCCTGACCCTCTTCCACCCATTCCCACAACCAGTGCAAATTACTGAGGGTGATACTCTTGAGAGGTGTAATTTTAAGCATTCAGAGCTGAATGCACATCTGCTAGGTCTAAAATCAAGGATCTTAAAAGAGCAGCTCTGCTGCCTTAGCAGGGCTGGATGTAGAAAGCGGGACCAGAAGCAGCGGGAGGAGACTAACCCATTTTCCCTTTAGATGGCAGTGGTGTTCATCGTACAAAAGCTGCATTTCCAAGGAGGTAAAACCCTTATTGATAACTGGGGTCAGCAGCAGCAAAGCAGCAGCAAGTAATAGAGACCAGCACTGAAGTGGTGCTGTTGGCCACACTACGCCTTACTTTCTGTAATGCTCTGTTCAGGGGCTCATTAATTTCTCCTTGTTTTTGTGCACAGTAATCAGACAAGTAATTACGGTTCCACAGAGAGGTTTCGTCTCTCCTACCACACCGTGAACACAGTCCAGGGCGAAGTGCTTCTTACTGTCAATGTGTGCCAAATTACAGCCTCTCTCCAAGCCAGATGAGCCCTTCCTGCTATATTTATGCGAAACCTGCTCATAGAGCCAAATAACAGATGATTTCAAAGGCAGCACTAACCTTTTCATGGGTTTGGGCGAGGCCTCCCGCTCCAAGTTGGAGGATGCGTGCTTCACGTGCATGGCGTTGTAGGACGTGTGGGTGTACTCATTTTCATCGCTGTAGTCAGGACCGAGTAACGTTCGAGCCCACGTCCCCATGTCGTACGGAGGAAGAGTCCCCCCAAATTCAGAGGGCAGGCATTCAGGGTGTATTAGCTGGTGAAGGCTGTTCAGGTTGTTACCGTGAAGAAAAATCTTTAACAAACGAAAAGAAAGTTCAAAGTCATCATCAATTCCTTACTTCATTAAGTCCAATAATAACAGCACTAATGAGGTGTGGATCATCATTAGTTGATGCTGCAGTTTCAGTTGGGAATTTCTGAAGTGCTCAGGGCTGGCTCAGGCAGGCAGGAGCAGGGGATTAGCTTTGGGGTGTGCAGCTGAAGAATTAGTCTGGCACTATGAACACTTCTGAAAACCCCGATTCTCTTGCTTTTGAGACATGACATTCACTTTCTTAAGTAGTTAAGTAGTAAGATCGGGGAAAGTGGAAGTTAGGAATAATGACTGATTATTGCTACTGTAAGAGGATAGAGGCTTGTACAAAGAGCAGTTAGAAGAAAAGGGATATAGTGCAGCTTACTGAAAGATATAGAGAGTAAGTCCTCAGCATTTGAGAGGGCAACCCAGGCCTGCACCCCAGGACTGATGTTTCCCAGGGGTGTACCAGGTTGTGTCACCACTTTGTGCTGCTTCAGCAACATTTGTCTCTTTAATACCTCTTTGCTTTCAGGCTGGTACTGCCCTTGCCCTGACCGGTCAGACACATGCTAGGGCAGGCTCTGGGGCCTCCTGAGGAATGATCCAGTGGTTGTTTGGTAGACTGCAGAGGACAAATGGCTAAGCTGCCTGCAGAACCACAGTTCACATGGGTTTCAGTGAGGAAGATCTGCCTCTTCTGCAGTGTGAGCAAACAGCCTCCAGGCATGGGCATTTTTTGTGGAAACAAGTGAGCTACCACCATGTGAGAACAGTCAACTTCCTGAAGGAATGAAAGAGGAAATTTTACTCCCACAAAAAGAGTTAAGCTGAAGTTTCCTTCACTGCAGGTGACCTCAGCCAGGCCTGATCATCCCTCCACATTGCCAATTCTCTCTATCCCTGAGCATGTCCCATTAAAATGTATCTACACTTTGTTAATGATAACAGCTTTCTGGTCCCTGGCTGAGTTATTGATTCAATCCAGACCATTGCAAACTCTAACTTTTAATAACAGCTGCAATTCTCTGAGGCCATATGAAAAATGCAGAGAGAAAAAGAAGGAAGAAAAGAAACCAGGCAGCTATTCAGCTACTCCAGCTCTGAAGCTTCCTATCCCCCTTGTCCCCATCTAATTACCCTTTTCCTTGTCTTGTCTTTGAGGAACGGTTTGATTAGCGTGTATAGGGCATGGATGTACCAGGGCTGGTTGACAAAATGGACTCCTCCAAAGCGGGCAGGAAAGCTGTCCTGCAGAAAGAAAGAAAAGGAAGGCAGTTAATAGATGCAGTGCTTTAGTCTGGCAGTCAATAGGATGAAAGTCAGAAGAAGTCTGCCTCTTTCCATCTGAAGACGAGCACTGGGCTTGCTGGGAGGGGGCAGGAGGGAGATGGAAAAAGAAAGATGCCTGGAAACGTTTGCATCAGTTTCCTCTGTTAGCAGAGGCAGTCCCTTCTTCCCTCCACGCACTAATGCATCAATTGCCGATGATTTAAAGTAGGATCTCCAGCCACGTTGCCTGAACATTTTTTAACTCCATCAGGGTATCTGACTTGGCAAGGATGGGATGTGAGAGGGGGTTGATGAGCACCGCTCCCTTGAGGGGAAGCTTTCTAATTTCTCATTGTGCAGCGTAAGGCAAGTCGCCGGTTCCCACGCACATTGCTGCACACAGCTCACCTTTTCACCCTTCGGCCTCCCTGCCTCCCCCCTGCTAAAATCATCATTACAATGGCTGACCTTTCGGGGTGAGCAAGCAGCATATTATGGGGAGGAGGATGGGTGGGAAATGCTGATAAGTGAAGGTGTAGGGAGAGAGCACCATGACGGCACCATGGAAACTGCCGGAGCCCAGCGCTCGCTGCCAGGCTGTGCACAAACACCCTCCACATTAACATGCAGGTAGCGTCCCGCCAGGGAGGTGTTTGCAATAGCGTCCTACTCCGCTCAGCCAGCGTGGCATACTTAATAAAAGAGGAGGTTGCTGGCATGCCTTAAAGGTTATTGTATATTGTGGTGGGTATTTTGCACCTATACTGTCATCTAACAAATGTCAGTCAGGGAAAAGCCTAGGATTTTTTCGCATTGCATCAATGGTGGGATGACCGCTGCTCCTGCGAGCAAATAGCTCTCCCGTGAGAGGAGAGGTGCCTGTTTCTCCCCTGTGAAGGGAGATTCTGATGAAGCCGTCCTCATCCTGCATTTGCCCCTATTCCCTACAGCTCAGCGTGTAAAGACAGAGCATAATCAGGTCTCTTCCTTCAGGGCTTTGGCTTTGGGACTCAGGCAGGTTCATTCCCCCCACAATTAGCACAGAGTGTCCTGGGGCTTTCTCTCACCTTCCTCCAGAGCATCAGAGGTTGAGCACAGCTGGTGGGGGGGATATGGGGTGGATTTGCAAGATGATATGGAAAAATCCCTTTATACACCTGCTTGTTATAGCTTCTGAGCTGCTCCGAGGTCAATTTTTTTCCCCAGATTTAGCACTATGTAGGCATCCCACCACCTCCTACCACCCAGGGCAGATTGGCAGGACTCTATGTTCTTTAGCATTGGCCATGGATTGCTCTGGCAGTCATCTTAAACCATACTCGGGAAATGTTTGTGAGTGGCCACTGGTATTAAGTGATAACTTTTTCTTTTGCTGTACAGTAGTATAAGCTGCTTACACCTCCAACATATCAGATAACCTGAAATCATTACAAATCTCAATATTGGATCCTCTGTTCAAGACTAGTGGATAGTCAGGCCAGCTCACAGGAGGCCAAGCAGTTTAACATAACAGGTGATCCAGTTTTATATACCAATAAACTATGAGCTGAGATTTTAAAGAATAACATATGCTCCGTTGAAGTGTTCATGATAAAGATAACTGTATTTCCATTGCTGCTGGAATATTCATTAGAGTTCAGGGGTTCAGATCTGTGATATAAATTACTGCAGTGCTGCAGGTTGCAGTGACTTCAACTGGGCTGTGCTGGGAGAACAGTTGTAGAGAGTCTAAGCCCACCTAGAAAAATACTTTGACCAACAGAATTGTAAAGTGAACCTCAAAGTTATTTTCTACCCTGTGGTAACCTAAAATTGAGTTTTACAGCAGACCAAAGCCAAAAATGCCCATCTCATACAAAATTTGCGTATTCAGTTTCTTTCTTCCCACATGGGAAGGAAAATTTGAAGATTTGAAACTTTGCACAGAACATTCTAAAAAAAAGTATTAAGAAATATTAGATTTTTTTTTTCCCCACTAATTCTATATTTGTCAAGCTGGCTGCCATCCCACAAACCGTATTTCTAAGGGAAAAGTTCTGGACTCCTTTGCTCTTTGGGCCTGAGTTGACACAGCTGTCCCAGGTTGTACCATAGCAGCATAGGTCAGTGTAGAAGATACAGTCTGAGTCTGAAGCAAAGGACAATAAAGAAATGAGAGATGGGAAACAGAGGGGAATAACTGTAAGACACTGAGGTTTATACTGACCAAAAAAGAAAAAATGTTTTGCCTTCTCACTGGAATGCACAGATGATATTAATCACAATCTTCAGTGAGAAATGTCAGTCAGACTTCATTTCCAAGGGGGAACATGGATATTTTAGAATATTTTGACTAGCCTTAATAATACCACATTACCCAGAAAGGTCTGAATGATGAGAATTATAGGAACCAGCCAGAGGTTTAAACTGGCAGACTGCACCTGGAAAATGTCAGCTAAGAAGAAGGATGTACTTTCCTATATAGAAAATGAATTTTATGTCCACCCAACATAGATTGTTGAGTCCAAAGACTAGATTCTGTCTGATACATCAGTAGATTACATGTTACAGGGAAGCCCCTCATATACTAGCTTTATATAAAGGCAATTTCTTTATTTTCATTCTGAAGGTACACTGAAAAATGCACAGGGACCCTTGAAAAGGCAACATCATGGCCAGGGAAAAAGACCACCAAAGAACACATTTTTGTGGGTAACTTTCTGCTAATTTTTGTTCCTTGCCTTATTAAGCACAATAAGCTCAATTTGACCTTCATCCCTCAGTCCACCTGCATTTGTAAGGCTGTCAATTAGAACAAGGACAAAGACAATTTTTTTTTTTTTAAACCAAAGAAATTTGATATGGGAATCATCCAGACACTGTTTGGAACTGCAACATACCAATTTTGCACAAGTCCCTAATTAGAGCAGAGCTGTCTTGGAAAGAAAAGCTCCCGTCTGGAGGTCTGCCTTGTGCAGTTCCAGGAAGATGCATGAGACATTTCCCACACCCCACTTAGTGTCTCTGCTGCTTTCCCTGGGGCAAGGTGAAAGTAGCAGAAATTGATTTTCTGCTGGAGAGCTTTTGCTTTTAGGAATTCTCTTTTGATTTCTCATGTCTTGTGATTCCTTGGGAAGGTGTATTTTATAATGAGGTACATTTTTTGGAGCCTACTGTGAAAAGGACCCTGGGATCATGGAGCCTTTTCTTAAACTGATTCCTTGTTAAAAATACCCAATCCTGAGGATATATTTACATTTTATTCTAGTGCCATAAATAAAATATAGCATGCAGGAATTGATCTAATTATTGTGTGCACTACTGTCATTTTATCTGAAAACCAGACTGGACATTTTACTATGTTGCTCAGAGATGAAATTGCAACATGAATAAATACATTCAGTGCAGTGCTAACCCAGCTAACTTGCTACTCAGCAATAGCAGGGAAGAAACAGTGAAAGGACTCCAGATACCTGATTGGGCAGCTATTATAGCTCACTCCAAAGTCAGACCGGGTCTTCTCCATTGGGACCTGAAGTGAACTAAAACAAGTAATATATCTAACCATACTGCAGTGGCACCGTCTTGAAACTGTAGGCAAACCTAGAGAGAGAAAATCACCCTAACACGGGGTTTTAGTTGTTTCTGTTGGTTGAACAATGTGGGACTGGACTTTTGTCCGATTTGTCTTTGAGTTTATGTATTTGCTTATTTACTGGTTTCAGTTATTCCCCTTGGCACAGACACCCCAAAATCCATACAGGCCTCAATACCTCTTTCATTTCAGATTGCAGAAGTGTCTCCAAGCTTGCAGATCAGAGGAAAATGTTATGGAGATCATTGTTTTCCTTCTCCACTCAGACCTCCTGTGAAGGGGAATTTCTGAACTGAAATGAGCCTGGGACTTAAAACCCTCAGTACATAATGTTCCACTAAACAGTTTGGGAGTGATTGCTACAAGGTGAATGAGAGACAATCTTTCATTATTTCTGCCTGCTCTTGCCTTCATGACATCTATTTCTTTTGGCATGAGTATGCATCAGAAACCTTTTACTGTGTTGTTGTTTGGAACTGCCTGAAAGCTAAAATCAAGAAGATCTACCAGCAGCTCACACACCAAAGTGTGGCAGAAAAGCAAAACAATCTTTGGAATACCAAAATTAGGAATAAATCCAACCTGGTGCTCAGAGTCAATCTTTGCAAAATGCATTAATTGTCTTCATAGACCAATGACCTGAGCTTAAAAAAACAAATTATAACATATTTCTAGGTTATGGGACATCTGAATTTTGTGACACAAACATTTTTAAAATGCTTTAATAACTTCTACCCCTTGCAGTCAGAAAAACAAACACACATCTTGCCATCTAAATGCACTTTAATCTCAACCACACTTGCCAGTTTGCTGCAAACAAAAATATAATCCCCTTTGAAAGAAAATAATTTCCCTTAGATTCAGGAAGATTTCAATCAATCATAAACAAAACTGTTTAAACTGGAAGGTCATTTAAACTGAGGATAAAAACATCATCTTCGTGCCTGTGCACTTACATAATCAATCCCCGTGGTGGATTAAAGCTCCAGCTTCCACAGACCGTACTAATAGTTCAGCAAGGTTTTATTAATAGTTCAGTGATAGTTTCTCCATGGAGAGTTTCTGTGAGTATGTGATTTTAATAGATTGGCACGATAAGGGAAGGAGGCTTTCTGGTCTCCATCTCTGGATCCAAATTCAGGCTCTGAAAGAGTAGCAGTGGTTGAAAGTTGTCTTACAAGTTTGTCAGGTATTAGATAGGTTCTGTCTATCAAAATCACATTCCTAAGTGTGTTTGAATGAATGCCATGTAACACCCTTGGTGTGGATGGAGCAGGCTGTCTTATAGTAGGTGCTAGGAGAGAAGATAAAGTGTTCACCCCATCGCTACAGCTTCAGCTTCTAATTTTAATGCAGCCTAAGAGATGAGTGCTTAGTTAGGGAAATCCCATGGGCAGGAGGTGGT